CCGCATAATGCCGGAGCAGCTATCGGCAAAGGCAAGTTTTCACTAAACTCGACACGAGACATGATTATTGGCAGATCCTGTTTTCTGATGACGCCAAACCACTGACCACATTCATCATGCCGTGGTGTCGGTTTCTCCTTAATCCACAGGGCCTTGTGTCAGATGGTGACGTGTTCACCTCTTGTACCGACGCCGCTTTTGACGGGCTAACTAACTTCTCGAAGGTAGTGGATGACGGCCTTATGTATGACACCAACCTGAGCGCTCATTACACCCACGCCCGGGACGTCCTGCTCCGAGCATCTAAGCATTGCATCACCCTCAGTGTCAAGAAGTTTGTGGTCGGGCGACTCTGAGGTCAATTATTGTGTTTACCATATCAATGCTAATGGCTGCACTGTCGACACGGACAAGACTGCCGCCATCACCGACTTCCCTGTGCCAGTCAATCGCACCGACATCCGCTCGTTCTTTGGTCTGATCAACAAGTGCAGTGATTCCTCGCCAGAGATTGCCAATCTCAGCGACCCATTACGTCCGCTGCTCCAGTCCAGCAGCAATGAGTGTCTCTGGGAGTCCATGCACACCGGTGCATGTAACTCTGTAAAGTCCACCCTGGTTTTACCACCTGTTCTGTCATTTTCCCAACCGGGTTCGCCTTGAGACTCACGCGTCAGAGAAAAACGGTCTTGGATATGTGTTGTGGCAGGAGCACGCTGACGTAAACTGGCGAATGTCCAGCGTGGGAGTCGTTTTCTATCTGACAAAGAGTCACGATATGCCGTAACCGAGCTTGAATGTCTTGCAGTCACCTGGGCTGTCCGCAAGTGTTAGGTCTATTTCTCTGACTCAGCATTTGAAGTCGTGACTGATCACCGCTCGCTCGAGCCAATTCTCAACTCGTACTATCTGGTCCAGATGGAGAACCCTCGACTACAGTGGCTTGTAATTTAAAACTTCCAGCCTTATCAGTTGCACATTACTTGGCGTAAAGGCATTGACCACGTGTTGCCTGACGCGCTTTCCCGTCATCCGGTCCATGACCCCGTCCGGACCATGAACTTGGCGAGGATTTACCCTCCCAAGGTACAGCTATCCGAGCATGCCTGCTAGAGGACTCTGGTAACTAACATTTCCATGAGCTCCGATCTGCCTCCCAAGCTGATACTGACTACCAGTGTCTAGCTCAATTCATCATCAACGGTTTCCCTCAGAAGAAGTCTCAATTGCCCGCAACTCTCCAGCTATACTGGAACGTTCATGAGTATTTGTCTGTCGGTGGTGATCTGGCGATGAAAGGTCCCCCTGCCTTCTGATCCCCACGGCCCTGCGTCGCTGGGTACTGTCTTATCTGCAGGCCTGCCATCAAGGTTTGATCTGCACAAAGTCCCGTGTACGGCAAGTATTTGAGGTAGTATTCTGGCCTGGTCTGTCATCTGACATTGAACTCGTTGTCCGCAGCTGTGACGAATGCCGCTTGCATGGTGCTTCTCAGCCCAAGGAGCCTCTTCGCTGTCAAGACTGTATGCCTAGCCTGCCATTTCAACATACCAGCACTGACCTCTTCGAGTGTGAAAGCTGGCAATACCTAGTACACGATGACCGTTTCACTGGTTGGCCGTGCGTCGCCAAGATTGGCCGTACTGCTTCATCCGCAGACGTCGTCCGCTCTCTACGTCGCTGGTTTCTTGACATAGGCACCCAGAAGTCCTCGCTAATGACAGTGGTCCGCAATTTCTGCGTCACCATTTCACGAAGTTCTGTGAAGCCAGGTTTATTCGTCAGGTGACATCTCCTCCGCATTATTTCCAGTCAAAAGGGGTTGCAGAGAACGCTGTGAAGGCCATGAAGTTGTTGATCCAGAAAACCACATGGAAGGGTGACCTGGATGTGGATTTGTTTCAACGTGCCCCGCTGGAATGGCGGAGCACTCCCAATGCCACTGGCCGAAGTGTGGCCCAAGCTCTGCATGGTCTCCCTTTGTCATCATTCTTGTTTGCACATCATGCTAGCTTTGGCGCTGAGTGGCAGCGTCAAGTCCCGGAGATTGACCGTCAGTCATCGCAACGCATGGAGTCTACTCAGCAGCTCTACAACCGGCCTGCCAGCTCTTGACCTTGTTTGCCTTTGGGTACTCCAGTTGATATGCAGCACCCGCGTACCAAGCTATGGTCAACTTCTGGTACAATTGTCGGGTATCGGCCAACACCGTGATTATCATATGAAGCTGCCTAGTGGTTGGATCTACTGGAGCAACCACCGATTTCTTCGTCCCAGAGTGTCGCCTTCCCCATCGCCTGACGCAGCCTCTACTCCCGTTAGATTTGTTGCACTCCCTTCAGCACCTCAAGTAGAACTCAGCCTGCTACTCCACCTGCAACACCTGCTTCTGGTCAACGACACAGCCGCCGCCCCTGCATTGGCCTGCAAGCAGAACCTCCCAGTCAACATCATTTCAACAAGTCCGGAGAATCACATGACAGATTTATGTGTCTGTTTAATTTCTCTAATTTCAGAAATTTTCGGTATGAGGGCAAAAGGCTAGGTTAGGTGAACAGAAATTTTCGGTATGAGAGCAAAAAGCTAGGTTAGGTGAACAGAAATATTCGGTACAGAGAAGCAGTTCCCTATTGGGTTATGTGTGTTAGTGTTTGTTCGGTGTATTGAAATTTTAGGCATGAAACAGATGCACCGAAAGTACCGAAAATAAAAGTACATCGAAAAATTGGTAAAATTACAGTATTCCAAATTGCTCATTGGCATTCTCTTTCTGCCTCTTTTCCTGCTATATTGCGTGTTCTGTTCGTTGCGCTGTCTATCACTAACGTGCTTCTATTTTGTTAGATAAAATGTGTTTATCTCCGAAGGGGCGTGGTGTATCCATATACGCATCCCACTCTCCACATTTGTTTTCCAGTATCTTTGTACTCACTTCCCGTACGCATACCAGCACAGCATGCGCACTGTCGGAATATCTTACTCAGTTCTTATTTCGTTCTCATTGTGTTTACCTCTATTATAATTTCGATAAAGACATGTTGAAAGTTTGAAATCCAACAATGCACTTGCTCGCGGGTGCACACCCACACACCCACACGTATACACACTAGTGTTGAAACGAGCGTATCTATAACAAACGAGCGATCAGTTCCACTATTACGAGCAAGCTATCGAGCGAGCTAACAAGTTCATTGATGTGTCAAATATGATTTTTTGAATATATTTTTTTCTAAGTTCGATTTTTTCAGCTGGTTCAAATCACCGCTGGCATTTGGGGTTACTGCTGCTTCACTTCAGACTGCTGTTTGGTGTAGAGATGTCTTTTCAGCGCCGTCGTTGAGTAGCCTTTGTAAGAATAGACCGTTTCGCAAAGATTGCAAGTAGCTCTGGTCTTCGCTGCATCGCGGGAGAAAACTTCCAAACGACTAAAGCGTAACTTTCACTCGAATGGAGAGGTGACCGAAGCATATCCTGCGACAGGTCAGCATATGCGGAACAAGACATCAGTAGAGTCCACCAAAGCTGCAACGACAACTGAAACAACTCAAGTGTCGTGCAGGCATACAGTCGCTGTAACTGCGAGTGATTTTCACTTTACGCGGGACTGGACTCTTGATCCACCAGGTAGTTGTAAAATACTCTACGACTCCCGGGATCCCCGGTCGACATGTACTGCCATGTGTACGGAGTACGGTTTTCGTTAGTGCAAACGAGCTGGCCGCACAAACGAGGCGAGTTTCTGGCGTGCGAGCTAACGAGTACCCGGTGAGATTGTTTCAACACTAATACACACACACACACGCACGCACAATCAAATTAATGCTCACATACCCCTGCCACATACAGAAATGTATTCCTTTTGTTAATGCAATTCTGTAAGGCCGATTCCACACTACGCCGAACGTGGCTTTGCCTTGAAGGCATAAAGTGGCTTATAATGTGAAGCTGCATTCACACCTACAAGTGTCGATCACGGGACTTTGCTTTGAAGGTTAGACTGTGAGGCTTTCCTGTGCTTGATCTAGCAACGGCGGTGGTGGAGAGGCTCTTTGTTGGTCCAAATCCTCGAATATCACCCATTTTCGCGTGCCAAATCTTGAAATTTGACCACGCTGTGCAGGCGGATTCCAGACCATAGGTCGAATATTCGTCAACCTCGCCAACAGGCATTCCGGTGGCATTCCGGTGGCTTTCCTGTGCTTGATCTAGCAACGGCGGTGGTGGAGAGGCTCTTTGTTGGTCCAAATCCTCGAATATCACCCATTTTCGCGTGCCAAATCTTGAAATTTGACCACGCTGTGTAGGCGGATTCCAGACCATAGGTCGAATATTCGTCAACCTCGCCAACAGGCATTCCGGTGGCAGTTTTCTTTGTGTATGTCTCGTACAGTCCTTTCGCCTTCGTTTTCATGTTGTCGATTTTGGAATGGACGATCGACGCAGTATAGATTGCTTCCTCCCGGAGCTGTTCAGCAAACAAATTCAGCTTGATGGCGATCTCCTCCGGCGTAGTTCCTGCGAACTGTACCGCCCGGAGGTCGCCTCAAATGTCCGTTCCAAAGCTCGATCAGCTTGCCCTCAAGCTCCTGGCTAAACATCGACAGCTCAAAACTCACAACAACTGAAAGATACGACAGGAAACAAATTCGGGAAAAATCGAAAGGCTGAAGAAAAGTCAGAAAAGTGTCCTGAAAAGGTAAAAAGTTGCCTTGAAAGAGGGTGCTGGTGTTGCTTTGTAGACAACAAGCACTTTTCACTTTCGCGCGTTCCTCAAAGTGATCGCCATGGCAACTTGCCTGAAAGTGCCTGAAAAATGGCTTTTTAGACAGGATTTGGTGTAGTGTGGAATCGGCCTAAGGCCCATGTTGCTGCACGGTATACTATGCATGTAATCAACAAAATGAAGTTTTTAACAGGGCTGAATGGCAGGAAATTCCAATAAGCCTCCCCCCACCCCCCCCCCCCCCACCCCCCAAAAAATCAGTCAAGAGTAAACCCACCTGAAGCAAGGTTCATCTCTGAAGTCGGACGCTGAACAGATTCGGAGTTTTTGTCTGCGATGAAACCTGCCGATATATGCTTGGGAGCAGCTGCTTGATCAAGAATGGTAAATTGGATTTTCTTCTTGAATGGCCAATGCAGAATGGCATCAAAATTGCCCCTCATGACGACAATCTTGAGGGAAATGTGCGTGCCCAGGCCCAAGCCGTCTCCATTCGGAACCATCTTAGCGCATACTTTGTAGCCGTAGCGGTCAGTGTAAAACGGAGGACTGAGCCAGCTCGTCTATTGAGCAGAATGGTTCAACAAACAAACAGAAAGTGGAAATTGCTTGCTTACTGTAAGACCGGTAATGTTTTAAACGAACATTTAATTCCCGTAGCTATGCAAAAGACGTTACTTCAGTAATGTCTGGCGCTAGCCAGGGTCCACACAGCTTCAATTCCGTGTTTGTGTGTTTGTGCCGTCGGCATGCCTGGCGCTATCCCGTACCTGTCCCGTACCGTACCATCAAAGACAGCTGGCCACAATATTCAAATAGGGCTTTCAAATGCAAGATCATAACGTGAACCAACTTGGAAGAATGAGTATGCATGCGAAGTGTATCGGGGAATGCATGCAGGGCGATAGTGCGGGCTCGAATCCTAGGTTATGTCTTGAAAAGAACCCAGGAGAAATGAAAAAGTTAAAACATCCCTATGCTTTTTTGCCTAGGTCTTCAAGGTGGTAAACGGTGTCGTATTACCCCCGAATGCAAAGAGAAAGTTCATTTATTTCGCTCAGGGCCCTACGCTATGCTTTTTTTGCCTAGTTCATCATGCATGTTATTCGACCAGATGGAAACTTTTTGCAATAAAATGATGTAACTGATCAGTTCGTTGTGGTATGGTTGGGCATTGTAGCCGTCATGGTCGACGTAAAACACTACTTACTTTGAAGTACATACGCAAGCTCGGGGAGCAAAAGTCTCTCTGTCCCATAAGCTACCCCATACCAACTACATACAAAACCATGCACTTCACACGAGCTGATTTGCATGGGTTGCCCTTTTCACGAACCCAGACAAAGGGATTGGTCTATTATAACGCATGTTCGAAGTCACTAGATTACACCCGCACCAGAGATGAAGGCGAGAGCTGTTGCCGAAGAACGGCAAGCGAAAAGATGCCTGGCGCTATCCCATACCTGTACCGTACCATCAAAGACAGCTGGCCACAATATTCAAATAGGTCTTTCAAATGCAAGATCATAATGTAAAGCAACTTGGAAGAATGAGTATGCGAAATGTATCGGGGGAATGCATGCAGGGCTTTTCATTTTCTTTTTCTCTTCTTCCGTGGTTGGTCTCACCCTACGGCCTAAATTCAATTGGCTGTCTTGACATGCGACGAGGTGCAGAAATAAATAAAACAAATAAATAATAGATTAGAAGCGGTGAGGCCTCCTGCAGTTTCATACAGAATTACAGATGGAGCAGACTCGCTCCCTTCTATTTACACTGCAACGTTCGAACACATTTTCGTAGTTAAAACAACGTTTCGGCATATAGCCCTCATCAGGTTTGCAATGATGTGCACTCTACAAAGGAGCAGTAAATATACTGTGCTGTGCTGTGTTTGCGCCAAATGTGTCAGCTACAAAGGTGGCGAAAGGGATTGGTGATATATTAATATCCAGATACGATATATTCACAGTAGTGCCCAGCCAGCATTAGTGTTTACTTGCAGCCGCAAGTTGCGGATTTCAACAGCTTCTCGGAGTTTTCTGCTTGCTCTGTCGCCTGCCCTTGCCAGGACTGACACAGCCGAGAACACACTATCCGCAGCAGCTATACTCTCGCCAGAATGTTTGTCGCGCACGTGGTCACCCCATGGCTTATCGAGAGTGCGACGGCGTGCCTCGCCATTGTGCTCCCAAATTCTTGTTTCCAAGGAGCGTTCCGTCTCCCCTACATACGTTTCCCGGCACCATTTGCATTGCAATTCGTAGACTACATTCTTTGTCATACATACTCGTTCGCCTCCAGACTCACAGGTAATGCAAGGCCCTAAGGGACGTCCTCTTCGTCTTTTTTCAGTAGTGTTGGGCTCGTTTACGCACTTGGGTGGTAACAGCGCCGAACGGCACAGTTGACGCCTGAGGCTGCCCGAGTGCTCGTATACGACACGTACCGGCAACTTGTATTTCCGTATTGCTTTGTTCACATGGTGGTGTACTTCATCGGACTTGAACGGTAGTTTAAGGAAGGCAGAGCGGGGATTACCGCGTCGTCTACGCCGAGGTTTCCTGGCAGCTTCCCTTGCTTCCGATATGATACTGTCTGGGTAGTTATTTATGCGCAGTTGTTTGTGTATTTTTTGTTCGCTCTCGGCTTGCATCATGGGGTTAGACGATAGTCGCTGTGCCCTTAGGAATTGAGATTGAGCGACGGCTATCTTGATGTGGTGAGGAACTGCCGATGAATAATCCACCAGTGGGCGAACAAAAAATACACAAACAACTGCGCATAAATAACTACCCAGACAGTATCATATCGGAAGCAAGGGAAGCTGCCAGGAAACCTCGGCGTAGACGACGCGGTAATCCCCGCTCTGCCTTCCTTAAACAACCGTTCAAGTCCAATGAAGTACACCACCATGTGAACAAAGCAATACGGAAATACAAGTTGCCGGTACGTGTCGTATACGAGCACTCGGGCAGCCTCAGGCGTCAACTGTGCCGTTCGGCGCTGTTACCACCCAAGTGCGTAAACGAGCACAACATTATTGAAAAAAGACGAAGAGGATGTCCACTAGGGCCTTGCATTACCTGTGAGTCTTGAGGCGAACGAGTATGTATGACAAAGAATGTAGTCTACGAATTGCAATGCAAATGGTGCCGGGAAAAGTATGTAGGGGAGACGGAACGCTCCTTGGAAACAAGAATTCGGGAGCACAATGGCGAGGTACGCCGTCGCACTCTCGATAAGCCATGGGGTGACCACGTGCGCGACAAACATTCTGGCGAGAGTATAGCTGCTGCGGATAGTGTGTTCTCGGCTGTGTCAGTCCTGGTAAGGGCAGGTGACAGAGCAAGCAGAAAACTCCGAGAAGCTGTTGAAATCCGCAACTTGCGGCTGCAAGTAAACACTAATGCTGGCTGGGCACTACTGTGAATATATCGTATCTGGATATTAATATATCACCAATCCCTTTCGCCACCTTTGTAGCTGACACATTTGGCGCAAACACAGCACAGCACAGTATATTTACTGCTCCTTTGTAGAGTGCACATCATTGCAAACCTGATGAGGGCTATATGCCGAAACGTTGTTTTAACTACGAAAATGTGTTCGAACGTTGCAGTGTAAATAGAAGGGAGCGAGTCTGCTCCATCTGTAATTCTAAATAAATAATAATAATAATAATAATGTGGAAGAGAAAAGGACATATGGATACGAGTTAAGAGTAACTCTCCATCACTGTAACATGATACTATATACAGTCAGAAAGTGCAATAACTAGGCACAAAACTGACAGAGTACTGAAACATTCGACGTCCTGACACCTAGCTTTAACACATCTCCGTAGCGCTAACCGACAGCCTTCCAACTTGGAAGGTTCAAGGTTATGGAAAAGACCAAAGAGGGGAAGGCAAGCTCGTTTTCGTTGCGCTTGCCTTCCCCTCTTTGGTCTTTTCCATAACCTTGAACCTTCCAAGTTGGAAGGTTGTCGGTTAGCGCTACGGAGATGTGTTAAAGCTAGGTGTCAGGACGTCGAATGTTTCAGTACTCTGTCAGTTTTGTGCCTAGTTATTGCACTTTCTGACTGTATATAGTATCATGTTACAGTGATGGAGAGTTACTCTTAACTCGTATCCATATGTCCTTTTCTCTTCCACATTTATTTATGGCTCAACATCCGAGTTTCAATAATAATAATAATAATAATAATAATGATAATGGGTTTGTTCCCACACTGGAACTCGCGCTATTCCGCCGACTTGACTTGACACTTGACTGACTCACGACTGTCATCCAGAGCACACGAGAAGTCCATCGAACCTTCGACTCGGCAAACCTGCAAGAAAACGTCACTCACTGCTCAATACACAGTGTTTTGGGGAATTCACCCCTCATCAGTTGAGCTTGAGTAGGCTGAGGAATATTGTGCCTCAAGAGAACCGCTTATATAGTGCTCTCCAGACACAAGCATCACCAGGGATACGCTCCTGGACGGTGAGAACAGTCAAGTGTCACGTCAAGTCGGCGGAATAGCGTTAGCTCCAGTGTGGGAGCAAACCCATTCCTAAAAAAATCATCGCCGAAGTCGCAACCACTGTTTCGTAAACACTAATAATAATTTTAGGCCGCAAGTATCCATGCAAACTCACATCCAGTCACAATAAGGCACTTGTCAAAAGTATCCGAGCGTTTTCGGTCCCTTCTCATCAAGGATTATACAGGGAATGGCTCAAGTTGGAAAGACTAAAACTTTTAATTATAGCGTAAAGATAATAAGATAACAACACTCGAGGCAAGGTGGAAAATTATCAAGTTCAGAACGACACAAAACTCGAAGGAAAATATTAATAGTGACAACAACATAGTGAGCAAATTAAGTTACATTGTTAACACCTCGTCGAGGAGTAACACCAAGCAATTGTAGAGACAACACATTCTCTTTCTGTACGCAAAGTTCAGGATCTAACTTACGGATATACAAAGCTTCCAACACAGCCAAATGCAACGCACATCTACTACGTGACAATATTGAGAACAGATTATCACTGTGCAACTCACGACAATTGGTACGGGCTGACAGATGTTGCTTGATTGACGAAGTGCGATTCTTAGCTCCGTTGGGTGTCATCTCGCCTCTTCGTGGCATGACCACTATCCGTCTCTTTGTGTTTCCACGGCCTTCCACGTTTCATGACACTAGCCGTTGTGTGCGCGATGCCCAGTGTCCTTTCAGCTACGTTTCTTCCATTGCGGTTTTCTGTTAACCTTCTTACTCCAACTTGTCCGGTGTCCGATATAGAGGTTCGTTTTCGTTTTTCTCTATATCGGACACCGGACAAGTTGGATTGAGAAGCTCAACAGAAAACAGGCTATGGAGGAAACGTAGCTGAAAGGACACTGGGCATCGCGCACACACCGGCTAATGTCATGAAACGTGGAAGGCCGTGGAAACACAAAGAGACGGATAGTGGTCATGCCACGAAGAGGCGAGATGACAGGACATTGGAGGAGATAACACCCAACGGAGCTAAGAATCGCACTTCGTCAATCAAGCAACATCTGTCAGCCCGTACCAATTGTCGTGAGTTGCACAGTGATAATCTGTTCTCAATATTGTCACGTAGTAGATGTGCGTTGCATTTGGCTGTGTTGGAAGCTTTGTATATCCGTAAGTTAGATCCTGAACTTTGCGTACAGAAAGAGAATGTGTTGTCTCTACAATTGCTTGGTGTTACTCCTCGACGAGGTGTTAACAATGTAACTTAATTTGCTCACTATGTTGTTGTCACTATTAATATTTTCCTTCGAGTTTTGTGTCGTTCTGAACTTGATAATTTTCCACCTTGCCTCGAGTGTTGTTATCTTATTATCTTTACG